TGAAATTGCCTTCATCCCTAGCAGTCCTCCACTGTAGAGCACACCAAAAGGATGACTCAAGGTTCACAAAAGGAAATCAATTTGTTGATGCCACAGCCAAGTGGGCTGCCACTCAACCCCTGAAGGCATCGACCACCCTCCCTACCTTACAATTAGGACCAACAGTACAATATCAAGATCTACTGAAACCTGGGAAAATAAAAACTTGAGAAGAGAAATGTGAGGCAGTTTATAAAGAAGGATTTGGGGTCTCAGATGGGAGGCCCATAGCTCCCAGATGCCTGCTACGGCTAATCTGTCAGCAGTTACACTCCAAAGGGCATTGTGAGACCCAGGCAATCGTGGATGCTATAAGGAGAGTATGGTATGCCCCAGGAGTGAAGCCACTCACATAGCCAAGACATGCCAAATATGTCAAGCAAACAATGCCTCCTCAAGAAAAGCAACACACACAGGGGGGAGACCATGGACCCAATGCCCCTTTGAAAAAGTCCAACTGGACTACATTCAACTCCCCAGAGCCAATGGTTACCAGCATGTATTAGTCTGTAGGGATCAAATCATCCACTGGGTGGAAGCATACTGATGCCACCATGCCACTGCTTTAGAGACAGCAAGACACCTATTAAAGGATCTTGTGCCCAGGTTTGGAGTCCCAAACATTTTAGACATGGACAGAGGCACACACTTTGTGTCACAGGTTATCACGCATGTCCTCCAGGCATTGCGTGTTAAACAAGACCTACACACGCCAGGACACCCTAGTTCTTCGGGGGGGGGGGGTAGAGAGACAGAATAGGGAATTAAAGACCCTCCTAGATAAAGTCTACCAGGACCACCCACCTATCCTGGCCCCAAGTATTACCCATAGCCTTGTTCCACCTTAGAACCCAGCCAAGGCGAGACATAGGTCTCTCCCCCTTTGAATTATTGTTTGGTCGCCCACCTGACACCCTCAGTCCCTTTGCTTAGAAAAAGGGGAGGGGGGGTCTTATCATCCTATCTTATAGCTCTACAATGACAGCTCAAGAAACTGTGGAAGCAAAGTGCCCTGATGCAAACCTTATCATTAGAAGAGAACCTACATCCCTTTGAACCAGGAGACTGGATCTGGATAAAATCATACATTTGCAAATCACCATTACAACCAAAGTGGAACGGACTCTTTCAAGTTCTGCTAACCACTCAGACAGCAATCAAGGTAGCAGAAAGGAACGCCTGGATCCACTGGACCCACACAAAACCAGCAGTTGTGGACCACAGCATCACACCTGAAGCAACACCAAAGATTGCACCCCTGAAACTCAGGAAAGATCCAGAAACTGAGGAGTGGACGCTGAAAACCCTTTTGAAACTGAATCAAATGGGGGAGGGAATGAAGATGGGAAATAAGTTTACCATTGTTAATTTTTTTTAACATTTGTTGTATATTTTTCTATTTAAATTGTACTTCGGGGTTCATGGAACCAAAATTGCTTCCAGACAAAGGGAATGTATGGGAATATTGAGTGCGGGAGATATTGAATACCACAGATTTTTGCCTTGCAAGGGTAGATCAGTGAAGGATATTTTAACTACATGCTTAATGGGAGTAGCAATAGCGCCACAAGCCATCACCAATGATACTAAGTTAAGAGAGTTTCCACTCACAGCCTCATATTCCAATATTTTCAATTGAGACACCAGCGTAGACATGAAAGACAACAGTATATTGCAAGTGGCAGCTATAACTCAAGCAGCTGCTTCACACTGACAGGATGTCACGTGCCTAAGGTCTCAGAATGCCACAACCTCACTAACACTGAACTAGCCTGCAATAACACTGGTGCCATCACCTTTTCATACAGCCATATGAAGCTTCTTTCAGGATGGTTTTGGCTGTATGGCTTGAAGGCTTACTCCTACCTACGGCAAACTCCACAGGTGGCCCTTGTACATTAGGACAATTAACCATGCTAATGCCCTCCTTGCAGAGGGGACAAAAAAGGAGCTTCATACATTGACTCCTGACTGTGACTCAAAAGTCCCCCTCCTCACCAAGGCTGAATACCTTGCATTGGCTGTTTCTCTAGTGGGAGTGCCAGGGCTTGCAGCATGAAATTCTAGGAACATAAACAGCCTGGCATGTACTCTAGCTCAGGGCTTTTCAACCAGTGGTACATTGGCACCTGGCAGATGGTACGCAACCATCCTAGAAAAGTGGTAGCGGGGGAGGGGAATGAGCTGAACCGGCGGCAGCAGCGCACAAGGCTGAACGAGAGATGGCTGGAGCTGCAGGGCTGTCAGGGCTCAGAGGAAGTGTCAGGATCAGCACTTCTTTGCGACGCCAGGCTCAGTGGAAGCACCAGGATCAGCACCATGCTCCAGCTGGAGCTTGGCACTGATCCTGGTGCTTCTGCTGAGCCCTGAAGAAGCACCAATCAGCTGGAAAGCAGCACTGATCCTGGTGCAGCCAGACAAAGTGCCAATCAGCTGGAATGTTGCAGCATCTCCAGGGTCTTGTGATTTACATTCAGATGCTTGGCAACTGATTCATATTTATGACGGTCACAGTGTCCCAGGGTCATGTAAAGTTACCAAAACTTGCTGCAACCATCCAGCAGACGGGGGGGGGGGGAATAAAAACCAAACACACTTTCACCCCACCCCCACTGCCAATCCTCAACAGAAATGCTCACAATAATGAAAACCTCAGACAGGAGGAAGAGCGCCACCAGGAGGGCAGGCAGGTGTCTTGCTCGGCTGTGGGTTGGGGGGCACTTTTTTCAGTGCCATTGTACTTCAAACAGTCATTAAGCGAACTGTTGTAAGTCGAGGACTACCTGTACTTTATCACTTCCCCCCCCCTTTTTTTTGTCATCAAGTTTTTGACACCTTGTTAGGCGACTGGTGGTACTCGGATAGTGCCATATCCTAAAAGTGGTACAGTGGGTGAAAAGGTTGAAAAGCCCTGCTCTAGCTAAAAATCTAAATACCACCTGCCACGTCCTGGATGCTTTAAATAAAGAACTAAGGCAAGGAGGAGAAGCAATACTTGAGAACAGGACAGCTATAGATTACCTCTTGCTGAGACATAATCATGGCTGCAAAGAGTTCCAAGGACTTTGTTGTTTCAACTTGACAGACGAATCCGGCCTAATTGAGCCAGATATCAAACACCTAAAAGAACTAACACAAGACATTGGGGATAACCAACCTTCCTGGGACTTATCATGGCTTTTTTCATGGCTCCCAGACTTTCATTGGCTAAAAATCCTCACTAGAACTATAGTCACAGTCACAATCATTATTTGCTGTTTTTGCCAGTGCATATGGCCATGTTTTAAATATCAAAGAAACTGCATTACAAAAATCAGCAAACAGCCAACAAGGTTTCCCTAATGATAAACCAAATTGACAGCCACTATTAAGTTTACACTCCACCTGTTGTACTAATTACTGAATCACCAGTAATAGTACAAAATGGGGGATTGAAGGAAGACCCCCCCCTCCCCAGATAGAAGAAGAAACCTTGAGGCAGAAAAAATAATTAAATCACAAAATAATTAACAATCTTTTTTATTAATTTTTTTTTCATCAACATATGTTAATTTTTCCAATCAACAAGTTGTCTGGTATTTGCTTGTTGGAGTTATTGGATTATCTGGCCTGCTAGGCTGAGTCATCAGCTGCAGTAGGCCAAGGTATAAGGAAGTCGGAAGTAAAAAAGGTTGGGAGAAACCCAAGAAGAAGTGCAGTGCGGTGCAAGGGAAGGTGTTTGGTGCTTTGTTGGTGCCGGGTGTAACAGCTGTATAGGAGCGTGAGCAAAACAAAGCTGTAGCACGTGTAATATGCTAATATGCTGTGTTATAACAAATGTGGTTGGTGTAAGGTGGTCACCAGGTGCATATAAACCTGCCTTCTGGTAACACAATAAAAGGGATGCTTCGGCTTTGTTCGAGGCTCCCATCCCGAGGAAACCACGTGTTCGTGTCTGTTCTTCTACACTCATGGGAGACCCGCTGGGCGCGTGAAAACCCACATTTGCTAAGCTAATACATGTTCACTTCCTAATCCTTCATTCTTTTCTCTAACCAAGAATAAAATAAATTCCAAATTTTATAATAGTCCGTATCTTCTTTGTCTTTCAGCCTCATAGTCTGTCCATCTCTGCACATTCCAATATTTTCGTGTAAATCACAAAATAATTAAATCACAACAGTTTAATCCTTTTAAAAATAGCACACAAACCTTATCTGACTCAGAGCTTACAACCTCAGGCAAAGTGCAAATACTTAAGAATACTGCAAAACCAGAAAGAATGCAGTCTAGCACAAGAATGTAACAAAATGTAACAAGACACTTGTTAAACCAATTAGCAAGACAAACAGATACAGGAACTAATCAGATTTGCCAACCCCACTTCTTTTAAGAACAGGGATTAGCCCATTTTCCTCCAAATAAAGCCAAAGAGGAAAAATATCCCATCAATAGGCATAGGATTATACAGGTTTTAAATTTAGCATATGTTAGACTGGAACCTCAGAAAAGGGTATACAGTATAAACTCACATTTGGATATCAATCTTCCTAGCTAGCCAGGAAACTTTGCTGTATGTCACTCATCTTGGTTTCTTGTCATTAAAGACTTTCTCAGGAACAGACATATTAAAGAAAAATATGAAAATGTCTTTAAACACCTGCCAAAGCAGTAGAAAAGTGTGTGTGGGGGGGGGTGTAATTCATTACCTTGAACCAGTTTAAAATTGGAGGTTGGACTACAAGACCTCCAAGGTCTCTTCCAGCCCTACGATTCTATATAAACAATCTGCATTTTAAATCAATTTCAAATGTTGTAAATTACAATATCCACTGGGTATTTTTTTTCAACAACTGACCGAAAGAGTCGCTGTCGCTCTAAGGAAAAACTGGAACAGATCCCAAACGGGGGAACGGATGTGACCGGTTTGCTTGCGCAACTTCATTAAGGGAACGGGGAGGAGCGGCCTATATTTAAAGCAAACCACTGAGGGAATCAACCTTTTTTGCTGCAGGGAGGGCTTCTCTTCCCAGTCCGGCGACTATGCTGCTTCTCATTTTCCAACAATGCATGAAAATCCTCACCCTGCCCATCCACGTGCTTGCCTATTTTGGATTATGGGACCCTATTTGTAAAAAAACTTTCCCATTTTTCATGAAGAAGTTGAGCAAAGACTACAACGCAAGAATGCACAAGGAAAAGGAGACGCTGTTCAAGAACCTGCGGGACTTCGCCGACGACTCGGGAAAGCTCCACCTGCTAGAGATCGGCGTCGGCACCGGCACCAACTTTCAGTTTTATCCACCCAACTCGCGCGTTACCTGCGTGGACTACAATCCCAACTTTCAAAACGTCCTCCTGGAGAGCATGGCTCAGAATACGCACCTGCAGTTCGAGAATTTTGTGGTCGGCTCTGCCGAGAACATCTCTTCGGTACCGGACGGCTCTGTGGACGTGGTGGTGTGCACGCTGCTCCTTTGCTCTGTCAAGAACACCCAGGCTGTCCTGAAGGAGGTTCTGCGAGTGCTCAGACCGGTAAGTCAAAGGACAAAGAGGTGAATTCAGTCTGGTCTGTCCAGACCACCGAATAATGAGCACTATGCTGTGCATGCTTTGAAAATAATGGGGAGCTTTAGATCCCCCAAAACAGCACCTCTCTGTTGCGCTTTACGCTGATTATTCTCAGGCTTAACGTAAATGGGATTCCTTCTTAAAGCAACCGCACTTTTCCCGCCTGCCTGTGTTTCTGGATCATTTTCAGACGGTGTACAACTTTAATGAATATATGCACAGCTTTAATGTTAGTAAATGGCAGCAAGCTTCTGTCCTGAGAGAGGAGCCTGCTTGGTACTTCAGTGAGAGATCTCCAGAAAATACTAGCTTGAAGCTAAACTGGAAAGTTAAAACAACTTCTCTGAGCAACGACAAGCCACTTTTGAATTGTTTCCAAAAATATTCCCCCCCAAATGGGGACGTCTGCATGAAATCACCAGGGATCAAGTTTGATTTGGAGGAGACTTGAGTAGGAACCCGAATAGATCAAGCTAACATTGTAGCAGGAGGACAAAGAGGCTTACATGAGGAAAACATAGGGAAAAGAACATTATGTTGTTACAGCACAGCTATGTCTGCTGGGGCACAAACTACTTTGGGAGTTTTTTGGCTAGTCTTTCATTCTGCGGAAGCCTCTGTTTCTTAAGTAAATAAACTAAAGGTTGCTCTTCACCTTTAAATAAAAGTTTAAAATGGTGCCCCAAATCAGCCATTTCCCTGCAGAATTTCAAAGCTATGTTCGTGTAGTGACTAAGAAGCACAAAGAGTTCAGTGGCTTTTGGATACTATATACTGTATATATTTATTGATATTGTATGCAATTTGAGAAATGATCTACGTGCCGTACAGAGAAAATTAGCAGCCATTTCCATGGGTGGAATAGTTACTCTGTGCTGCCCTCTGTAATCAAATAATAATCGCCAGTAAAGCCAATGTAATCTTCCAGATAGGAAATGTAGGGTTGTTCCTAGCACCCTGGAACATAACTAAAATTTAGATGTTATTCTTCATTTGTCCAACTAGCTAGTTTGTCTCCAAAGAAACATAGTGTTTATTAAACTTTATTGTTGTGTTTATAGCTATAGTTCATCTGGCTTTTGTTTTTTACATTTTATTGAATTATAGAGTAAAATACAAAATATAAAGCAAATACTAGGACACAATGGGGAGAGAAAAGGGAAAGGGAAGGGAGGAAAAAGTAATTGACTTCCGACTTCCTCTATTGCAGCAGAATAAAGCATTAATATCAAACCTCAACTTTTTACTTTTTCATAATAGTATAAACTATCCATTTCTGTAACAACAAATCTAATCAGTAAGGTTTGGTGCTCCAAACCTCAGATTGAATTTGGCTTCTCTTATGAAACTAGTCAGACAAGCTTGTACTTCCACAGACTATTTAGATTTTGATGTATGTTCCTTTCTTTGTTATCCACTTGGCCTTGAGTAAATTACAGTTCTAATCTAGCAACTGTGTGTAAATTGAAACCTGAAAGAGGACTGCTTGTTCCATATACAAACGTTTCCTGCCTGAGAGAGTGAAAAACTTTTGAAACTACTTGCAGCCAGAGGTTGCTGAAGGGGTGTTTGTCTCTGTGTTGTCACTTGCTCTGGGACTTGCCACAAATGTGAGAGCATTTGGGGAACAATTGGAGCAATAAAGGGGCAGTTGGAACTGTCAGCTGACTATGTTGCCTCTGTGCTGTGCCCTGGATCCTCACAATTATCCTTCTACCATTTCTGCTTGTCAAGATACGAGACTTATTTTATTCTCCCCATCATTCCTTTGAAATTTTGGTGACTGCATCTTAAAAGGATATTATAAAATGAGGAAGAAGCAATGAAGGGCAAATAAAATGAACCACTCCCTTAAAAAGAGAAGCTCCAACATTTGATACTTTTTAGTATAGAAGAAAAGGAAAACAGTTCAGCAATTAAACTTGTGAATCTGTATAAGTAGTTATTAGAAAGGGATTTATCTTTTCTCATAATAATGGTATCTAGAGCGAATGCAGCCTCACTGGATATTTGTGATAAAGTAGCCCTTTTATAGTGGAAAGACTTGAGATAACAAATGAGTTAGGAGACTGTTATCCAAATATAAGTTGTTACTGTACATACATTACAGCTTGTTTGTCCTTTAATAGGACTTGTTTGACTTTTGGGTCAAGTGTATCTCTTTATTCATTTAGCAATAGATAAATCAGCTTCCTTCATCGTATCTTGATGTATTGAGTTCTAGTCCTGTCTTGGCCATGAAAGCCACCTGGGTGACTTTGGGCCAGTCATTCTCCTCAGCCAATTCACCTCACACAATTGTTGTGGAGAACATAGGAGGAGGAAAGTGTGCTGGATGTGCTCTCCGCCTTGAGTTATTTGTAAATATAATAAAGGATATAAATAAAAGAATAAATTATTAAAATTTTGAGTTTGATATGCGGAAATATATTGAACTGGTTCAGCTACTTTGTCACTGTCCTTAAATGAAAAAGGCCAATTCTGCAGTTGAATTTCCTGTAAATCATTAATGGCTAAATTATATTTCAATTTCATTTTGTATCTTAATTATTGCTTCAGATCCCCAGGAAGTTATATAACAACAAATTTGATTACAGTGTGAATTATTTATGTAATATCAAAGTGTTCTGCTTCAAATTCTTTCTTTTTTGTATTATTTTAATTTTTCCAGGGTGGTGCATTCTATTTCATGGAACATGTAGCAGCTGACAGATCAACCTGGACCTACTTCTGGCAACAAGTCTGTAACCCTACCTGGAAATATGTGGGAGATGGGTGCTCCTTGTTGAGAGAGACCTGGAAAGATTTGGAGAACGCGGGGTTTTCTAAACTGAACTTGCAACACATCATAGGCCCATTGTTCATAAGTTTGGTTCGACCCCATATTTATGGATACGGTGTGAAGTAATTGTTCAATCTGGAGAAAAGCGTCTTTCAGATTTCTGAGTTTAAGGAATTAACACTCACAATGCATATACTGCTATAAGAAAAGGGTTTCCTCTATTCTATATGATTCAGAATGGAGAAAGGTTCCTAAAAGTTCAGGCTGCACTAAGCCTAAATGGTACCTTGGATCAGGTTTGGAGGGAGGGCAAATAATAAAGATAAAAATTAATATAAAAGAAAAAATCAATCCAAAGACTATTTGGGGGGGGAAGCCCACACCATATTGCTGTGGCATCACTCAGTCCACCATATCAGCTGCTCAGGAAGCGAAGCAAGAGGAGTCTGTTTTGGGATATTACTCACAACCTGTGTGGAGTTCTCTAATAACAAAGTGGTAATGGCCAAAGCTCTCACTCAGGGGTGTCAAACTCGCTGCATCACGTGACATGCAACGACTTTTTCCCCCTTGCTGGAGCTGGGGTAGGCACAGCTTCCATGTGACACATCTGGCCCGTGGGCTGGCAGTTTGATACCCCTGCTCTAACTTAAGCAGAAGTGGAGCAGAGACTCTTGCTTAAATAGTACTTCAGGCAGAAGCTTTGATGGCCTTTAGGCAGTGGTGGGATTCAGCCAGTTCAGCAGAACAGGTAGTTAATTGTTTGTTGCCCAGGCCGAGAATGGACTGCCGGAAGTGGCATCCACACAGTGAAGCGGTTGTTCACATATTTGAATCCCACCACTGGGTAGAAGGTTACACTAACATAATTCCTGAAGATCTCTCTTACCTTTCTCAGCTTCTTACTGCCTGTACTTATAGAGTGGATAAAACTGCATATATTGACATGGAATTAGACTGAAAGCTAAGGCTTAGCATTTAGAAACTGATAATGTTGTATCAAAGCTTGCTAACTGCTGAATTATGTATTATTTCTTAGTTTTACTTATCATACTTTTCATTTTCAATAAAAAAGGGTTTGGGTTTTTTTTTCCCCTCTGGTGAACCTTGTCTCATGACTTTTTCTGAGTATGGGCAAATGCAAATATTGGATCCCCTGGTTCTGGGGTATATTGTGAATTGTGTAACTGATCCATGGAAAAGCCTAGCCATAAATAATCACTTTAAGTGGGGACTGAGAAGAGATGTGTTGTTAAACTTTAACCTGATATTTACATGTTTGTAGAAACATTTTTGGAAAATAATTTGGCTCATTTGTTCAGCTCCACCCCATCTCATTTTTATCTGTCATTTACAAAAGGTCCCAGATCAGCAGGGACTCACTTTGTGGCCAATTAACGAAAAGTAGTGGTGCAGCACAGAGGATCTTCCCTGTTGATGGCCCCTGGGAGATTCCAGAATTCCAAAATCATAGATTTATATGCCCTCAGCCTAGTGCTTTTTTCATTTTTTAAATTTATTACAGTCAAAGACTTATACAGAAAAAAACAAACTGTTTAGAAATAAAAGGATGGATATAAAACACAAGGTAAAAGAATGAACAGAATATTACAGATAGCCCTTGACTTAGGGTCCGTAACTTAGCAGCCCTTCAAAATTATACTGACCTGAATAATAATAATAATAATAATACCCCCAGTGAGGCACTACCTTGACGTGGTTGTGGGGCTTGTGTACTCTGAGGAAGATGAGAGCTATGCCAGAGGTTCAACCATACTGGACAGGTCTCATCAGAGGAGTCAGACAAAGAGTGTCTCTCTCTCAACAGAAGTTGAAATGAAAGAACTAGTAATAACAACAAAAATGGTAGAAAAAAGAGCAAAGAAAATCAAAAATTGGTCAGCACCAGGTGAAGATGAACTGCATGGGTTTTGGTTGAAACATCTAACTGTTATACACCCACTCATTGCCAAGCAGTTCAACAATATACTACAAGGAGGAGAAATTGAAAAGTGGCTAACAACTGGGAAAACCTACCTAATAATGAAAAATCTAGCAAAAGGGGCAACACCAGGTAACTACAGGCCAATTACCTGCTTACCAACAACTTTCAAATTACTAACTGGTGTGGTAGCTGATGCAGTACAACAGCATCTAGTTGAAAACAATCTCTTTCCACCTGAGCAGAAAGGAAACCGCCCCAATAGCAGAGGAACAAAAGATCAACTCCTAATAGACAAAATGATCTTGGAAAACTGCAAGAGAAGGAAGACCAACCTGAATGTGGCATGGATTGACTACAAAAAGGCATTTGACTCTCTGCCACATGATTGGATAATCAAGTGCCTAGAAATAACAGGAGTCAGTAGAAACATCAGAAAATTTGTGCAAAGATCGATGGCACAATGGAAGACACAGTTGCAGATCAATGGTGAGAGACTGGGAGAGGTTAATATCAAGAGAGGAATATTTCAAGGAGATTCATTATCACCATTACTATTTGTTATTGCACTGTTTCCTCTGTCAACAATACTGAATAACTCAGGACATGGCTATCAAACATCAAAAACATCTGCCAGACTATCCCATCTCCTTTACATGGATGATCTGAAGCTGTATGGAAAAACATCATCTGAAATAGAATCGCTGCTCAACACTGTCCGTATATATAGCCAAGATATTGTATGGAGTTTGGCTTGGACAAATGTGCCACACTTACTATCAAACAAGGAAAAGTAGTGAAAACTGAAGGAATCAAGATGCCCCACGAAAATAACATTAAGAGTCTGGATGAGGAAGAGTACTACAAATACTTGGGTATCCTTCAAGCTGACAATATCAAGCACACTGAAGTCAAGAAAAAGATTAGAGGTGAATACATCAAGAGAGTGAAGAAGATCTTAAAGTCCAAACTCAATGGAGGAAATACCATAAAGGCAATCAACACCTGGGCAATCCCAGTCATTAGATACACAGCTGGAATAGTGGACTGGACTCAAGCAGAACTAAAAGCAATGGATAGGAAGACCAGAAAAATAATGACAATGAATCATGCCCTTCACCCACGTAGTGACATTGACAGACTTTATATATCAAGGCAAATAGGTGGGAGTGGAATGCTACAAGTACATCAGATGGTTGAAGAAGAAAAAATGGCTTTGGAAGAATATCTGAAGAACAATGATGAAGATGCACTGAAATTAGTATATCAGGAAGGCTTACTGACTACTGGAGAGACCAAACTGGCCTACAAGAAAGACCAAATGAAGAACAGAATAGAGGCATGGGAAGACAAAGCACTACATGGCCAATACATGAAAAAAATAGCTGGGAAAGCAGATAATAACAAACCTGGCAATGGCTAAGAGCAGGAAAATTGAAGAAAGAGACCGAGGGACTAATTCTGGCTGCACAAGACCAAGCCTTAAGGACAAATGCATATAAAGTCAAAATTGAGAAGACAGCAACAGACAGTAAGTGCCGCCTATGCAAAGAAGCTGAAGAAACAGTGGACCACCTGGTAAGCTGTTGCAAGAAGATTGTACAGACTGACTACAAGCAGCGGCATGACAAAGTAGCAACAATGGTGCATTGGAAGATCTGCAAAAAATATCATTTGCCTGTAAGCAAAAACTGGTGGGATCATAAAATAGAGAAAGTCATAGAAAATGATACAATTAAACTGCTCTGGGACTTCAGAATTCAAACAGACAAGCACCTGCAACATAACACCCCAGACTTAACAATTGTCGATAAGAAAGACAAAAAAGTCTGGATAGTGGACGTGGCAGTGCCTGGAGACAGCAGAATAGACGAGAAAGAACTGGAGAAGATAACAAAATACAAAGACCTACAAATAGAAATAGAAAGACTGTGGCAAAAGCAAGCAAGGGTAGTACCAATAGTCATAGGCTCCTTGGGTGCAATCCCAAAACAACTGGAGCACCACTTGAACACCATTGGCATTGACAAATTCGCTATTAGTCAATTGCAAAGGCGGCCTTACTAAGAACTGCTTCCATCCTGCGACGATATCTGTAATATCATCAAACATCTACATCTGCCTATCCCAGGTCCTGGGTAAGGACTCGATAGGTAGACAAAATGCCAAATCCAGTCTGAACATCTGGCTGACATCTGACATCTGGCTGACAGCCAGGCATGCTGGCTGAGGAATTCTGGGAGTTGAGGTCCACAAGTCATAAAAGGACCAAGTTTGAAGATCCCTGAGTTAAAGAGATAAAGATGCTCTGGAACTGAATTCAATTCCATGTCAACAGTATGGAAGTGGTTTATTATGTATTGCCATCTTCTGGCCTACAGTTATGTTATTTCTGAGTGGTGTCCCATCAGAACTAGGTCCAACCTTGCTTGCTTATTTGCAGATCCCATATAGATTTGGCCCAATGCAGGCGCTTGTTGACTGTAAACGCTAGGCCTATTCCTAAACATTCTTGGCAACTTGTATATAGACTACTATATTTTGTTTTGAGAGCCAGATTAATATAATGGTCAAAGACATCTTTTTAGCAATTGAGAGAGAATGACTTCTGGTACTGCCTTATTCAAAAGCCACCTGGGTAATTTAGGGCAGAAGAAGATAATGGCAGATCAGTTTTGAAAATGTTGCCCAGAGAACTACAGAGACATTTCCAGACAGTCACCAAAAATCAAGTCTGATTTGAAGGCATTTTCCCCCTCCCCTGCCAAAAAAATTCTGCTTCTTTGGGTCCACTAAAATAGCTTCTCTGTTTACTTTAACATGCCTTCAATTGTTTTCTCAAGTTTGAGTAAACAATCCACCTTTCTAAATCCTGAAATCCTTCTCTTATATTCCCAGAATTCCCTGGGTTAACTGGAGAATTCTGGGAAATACAGAATATTAGGTTGAAAGAAGTAATTCAATAGATATTTTTTTAAAAAATAATAAAAGGAACAAATCAATAAAGCAGAAGGTATGACAAAGGCATCTGCAAGTCTATTGTATGTTTGGGGAGACCTATTCTTTCCTAAACTGAGGACATACACAAACACATATCTTCATTATTATTATATATATAGTTATATTATTTATATAATGCATATTATATAATTTATAATAAACATCTCTCCTGCTACATATTTTCAGGATTATTATGGTTTAGTGGATGTTTACCCTAAGCAAGAGGCTGGCCAACTCATACATACGCAATACAAACATTAGAAGATTTTTTTTTCAATCTCTCCCTCAGTTTTTAATTAATGTTTTATTGACTATTGTATTGATTTTGTTTTTAACTATTGTTTTATTATGCATTATATTACTTTTTAAAAACTATCTTGAGATACTTTGGCATATGAAGCAGCATAGAAAGGTATTCAATCAATCAAATAAGTATTGCCGTCTATTTTAAATCTTTTATTGAGAAATCTTGTAGCTATTCTGCTATCTGCATTGATATGCATCTGGTATGTCAAATGTTATGCACTGAGAAGTAAAATGGAAATGAAAAATTGATTTCAAGCAGAGCCAGTACATGTGAATATAACCTTTAAACAATGAAGTTACACAGATAGCGTCACTTTCAAAACAGCCTTTAGCCGTCTTGTGAAGGGGGAGAGGAGAGCAGGGGACCAAGTGAGAAAGAGATTCAGTAGAAGAATATGCATTTCCCATTCAAGGGAAAAATGTGGAGTAATCAAATTTAGCAAACTTTTCTTTCAACTGTATTGTCTCTCTATTCCAGGGGTGTTAAACTGCCAGCCCGCAGACCGAATGTGTCATGGCGAAATCACGATATGTCACAACACGTCACGTGAAGTTGCAAGTTTGACACCCCTGCTCTATTCTGTCACTGTCACTGTCAGCCCTCCCAAGTAAACCAGACAGAAAACACAACTAAATGAATGAATTCTACTTTATTGTAAGGCTACATTAACAGAATCTTGCAATCTTAACTGTTTGATTTCATTAGAGCAAGTCCTTTCTAAGTTTCTTTCTCTGACTATTAAGGGACTGTAGACTTCTGCCTCTCTTGTCTGACTATTTCCTGGGCAGCTTTTCTTCCCTTCTTCCCCCAAGATCGTCCACACATCCCATTACAGGCACCATGTCATGCCCTCCCC